TCCCAGCATATTATAGCCCATGGTTTCATGTCAAGGGAATAAGGAGGATATATAGGAGGTGTGATCATGCGTATAGTGAAAAACAGCACATGATTGTCATATTGCGACCCTAGTGAAATAATACATGCAAAAACCTTGTTATTTATATAAGAGCATTAATTTTGATTGATATCCTGTGAGTATGTATCATTACAAATGAGTTTATGGAACATGTTTACGAATAAATATTAATCATTATCTCATATGTCTATCTTAAAGATGATGAGAAGGTGGAGTTAAGCTTCTGAACATGTTCATGTTTTGTGATTACTTATAATTTATCACTTGTATTTAAATTGATTAACATGCATTAGTATGAGTTAGTTGGACTTTTTTACTGAGTAGTTGTACTTACCCCATTATCTTTAATATTATAGGAAATAGCTTAAGAGGATCAAATAGAGAAAAATAGCTCGAGGCATAAGATTGTCATCCTATTAGTAGACCCCTTTCATTTTGAGTATTTATGTGTATATGATGATTGACATTGTCAACTAAGTATCTTACCATTGAAACTTACTTGCATCATTTATCTTGTGAAGGGTAAAGTGTATTTCAGGCCCTAGGGTATATATATGTGATTTAGGATACTTATAGCAGGGTCAAAATGCTAGTACAAGTAAGAATTGATAATATCATGTGATTGTTGTGGATGGTATGATGGAATTAGCGGTTTTAACCCCCTTTTATTTTTAAAATTTTAAGGTTGAGCATTAAAAATATGAGTTATAAGCGTTTGTATGATGTGGTGCATTATATAGGTTAGTTTTAGTCTATTATGTATGGTTTGAGAGGTGCCTATGGCTTTTGACTTGAGGGATGTGTTTTGGACACTACTTATGAAAAGTGATGAAAAAGTGTAAATTTTAAAATGAATGTCTAATTTTTGTTTGAGTAATAATTTGATTGTGAAATTCAAGCCATTGGTTAAAGCACAAAAAAAGCTTTTCGTATACGCGTCAATCAGACATCAGACGGAGGAATGAAGCACATCAAAAGTTGCCTCAAAAGCTATAAAATTGATAGTAAAATTTTGTTATCATGGAACGTGCAATGTGCTATGGTGCATTGTGCAACAAGTCATAGCACATGGCATAGAGGAGAACAAACCACAGCGTACGCCCTTAAAAACTATAGAATTGCATTGTTTTTTGACTTCTAAACAAATGCACTGATCATTTAAATGATCCCATGCTTCTATATAGTTATCAAATCTGATTTGTTAATTACTAAACCTTTTAAAATGGTTTTAGTTTTGAAAACTTAGGATCCCATCTTTCCAACATATTTGTGAATTTGATAAATTTGTCTTTACCTTAAGCCAATCTCTTAATTAATTAAGATTTAGAGTTAATCGGGGAATAATAAAGGAGGATATTATAGTAGGCCTCTAGATTTACTTATATGTGTATTTTGATGGCTAATTTTCTAACTAGGATTTCATTTCATTATTTTTGTCTACTTGCATTATAATTGAAAGTATTTGTGTATTTTGTGGCTTAAGCTAGTGTTATATGATTGTAAAGCTTGCATAGGGTTAAAATATTAGTACAAGTAGGATAAAGTGTTTATGGGTTGTTTTGGATAAATATTGACAATTTAATGCAAAGTTTATTTTCCCGTTGTGTTTTTATGAATTGAGGGGTTGAGGGTTAAATTTATAGTGTATGTGTATTTGGTTGATTGTAGTATAGTGCACAAGTCCTAAATGATCCATTAAGTATAGTCTAAGGGTTGGTGTATATTTTTTGCACATTTGTTAGAGTTTTAGGCACTCTAAATGTGAGTTAATGTGAAAAATGAGTGGGTTTGGTATTGGGTATCTAACTTTTTGTAGAAAAATAATTTGATTGTGAAACTTATATCATTAACTAAATTTGGAAGAAAGCTTTTTATAAACACCTAAATCACCTCAATTGGACATCAGATGAAGAAATGAGACATATTGAAAGTTCGTCTCTAATGCTGTCAAATTCCTGCAATGCACAAATGCATGGCGCCTCACACTGTGGCGTAAGAGTGTCACGTTGTGGCACATGTGCCATTTTGACAAAAAATGAATTCTTATTTCTTTTGCAAATGCTTTTACCTATTTTGAAATCCTATGCTTTCACACATACTTTAAAATCTTATGTGGAATATTAAAAGTGTATGAGAATATTTTAAATATTAAAAATTTGAGATCCTCTTTGTACAAATTTGACAAACTTGGTAATTTTTATTGGGTTTAGACCCTTGATAATCATGAACGTAGTAGTTAATGGAGTTTAAGTAAGCATAGTTTACAACTTATGAATTCAAGAGATAAGAAACTAGGATTATCTCTTCCTTTGTATTTCATAAGATTTTAATTAATTTTCCTCAAAATGATTTATAATGAAAATAAGTGTTAGTCTAAAATTTTAATTTATTTGAAAAATCTTTCTCAAGTCAAAATCAAATATATTTGCCAACAATACAATATTGAAATTTCTTAAAAATGATTAGTGAAAATAAGTTTTAAGCATAAATCTTAATGTGACTGTGAAGGATTAATAAAATATCTCTATTTTACTAACAAAATCATTCATTTAATTTTAGAAATTTCAAGTCTAACATTATTTTATCCAAGTTCTACATCCAAGTTATCTTTCTCAAGCATAACTTACATAAACAAAATAATTCAAATAGTGGCCAAACATTTAGAAGCATTAAGCATAGGATAAAATAAACACTTATATATCATTAGCTATCAAAAAAGATGAGTATTCAAGTCTCAATCCATACAAAGGTTTGAAATAATTTTAGAACAAGAATGCTAGCTACTCTTATTCATAAAAGAGCAATAAACAATGAATTGTTCAGCACTTATATCAAAAACACAAAGAAAAAAGGGAAGGAAAGTAGAAAAACTAAAGAAAATCCACTTGAATCTCTTCAAATTTTTAATCCTTAGGCAAATCTCTAACAAGAACCCTAAAGCCTAGCAGAGCAAGCCTCAAAAAACCTTTGAAAATTGTGTGTGTCGTGCTAGAAGTGTGGAAAAGGGCATATGTAACCCTAGTTTTTGTTCTACAGCTCAAAACGTTCAATAGCATTTAGGCCATGTGTTGAGCACATGTGTAAATTTGTGAAGCGCGCCGCGGCGTGTTGTCATTGAGCCACAGTGCATGTGCAATTCCTTGAAATACTTTCTCTGTGCCATAAGTCACGACGTACTATGCATGAGCTACGACACATGACACAGAAACCTCAATCTTCATTTGTGGCTTAATTTTGGCTGCTTTTATGTTTTCAAATGCATTTTCAAGCATCATTTGGCTTTTTATTGTTACAATTATCCATTAAAAGTCACCTGAAATAATAGATACAACTATGATATCTTTCAAAATTTAAATCAAGGCAAGATTCTTTACAAAAATTGCCAATCAAAGTTAACTTCAGTCAAAGCCTATTTTTTATATTTGAACCTAAAATATTCACAATTAAACTAAATAGTAAATGAAAGAATAAGAAAATGGGGTTGAATTAACATCAATTGCAATAGGTTATCATTGTCTAAATTAGTAATACTCTATTTCACTCTTGATTTTGTTCTTCCTTGCACAACTTATAAGAAAATTTTTAAATTTTTCATTTTTGGGTCTTTTTAGGTCCTAATGTCGTCATTTTCTTGCATGGTTTCCCAGAGACATAGTGCCTCTGGCTCCACCAAATGATCACCCTTGCCATTGCTGGCTTCACAACGAGCACCCCCCGACTACAAAGGCGACGATGGCCTTTCTAACTCGCCATGTGAACCTGAGAAAGTCACCTTCTTTGACATTATCAGTGACATGCTTGGAATGACGATGCCCTTGCCTTGATAAGGTAATGAATATGTGGGCTTTGTTTTTATGAAATCAAAAGGCCGTGAATTCTTGACAAGTTTATGCTTTTTCTTCATGACTTGTTTAGTAACGAGGGAATTTACACTGTACTTGCTCGAGTTGTGACCAAACTACACCTATGGTTGTGAAAATTTCATTCCTTCTTCTCATTTGCTTTCTATGCACTGACTATTGGGACATAATAGTGTCAAAAGTCTAGACTCAGTTTTGGCGCTCAGCACCAAAACACTGCCATCTGGCAGTGTTATTTTTTAATTACAAATTTATTATAATAATAATAATAAGTAAATATTATAAAATTATTATTTTAATATTTAATAAACAAAAAAAATATTTTATAAAATATTTTTTATTTTATTAATTTTGTACAATTGTCTATTCATGAGAGGTAATGTCATTTAGCCAGGTATAAAATATAGATACTTCTCTTAACAAGAATTTAAATATTGATTTGTTAAAGTGTAAAAAACTAAACTCAACTCTTATTTTAAATCCTTCATTTTATTTTTTTTTATTTTTTAGTACAATTATAAACTATTTAAATTAAAATTTTTATTTAAACCATTCAGTTTTAATTTGAACATCTTAATATTTATTTATTTAATAAATATTAAAAAATAATTTTATAATATTTATTATTATTATTATTCTTATTCTTATTATTATTATTATTATAAATTTGTGGTTAAAAAAGCAAAAAATAAAAAGTTAACGCTGCCAAACACCAATGTTTTGGCGTTGATGTTGAGCACCACGGATGGGTACGGGAACCAAATCTCAGAGGTCTTGCCTCGTCCAATCACTGTCCAATGATTGTTTACTGTAGTTGACTATTTTGGTGCTGACAAACACTTTTTTTTTTGGCGTCCTCCAACGTTCTTTTCCTGTGTTTTTAATTTAATCTGACGTAAGGTTTTTTGTTTTTGTGTTGATTAAAAGCCCACATCAATGACAAATTAAAACGCAAGCACAAATGTAACTGTCAGTGGACACGTCAATAATGTTAACATCGTTCATGTTATGTTAACCTCCCTTTAAAACGATAAAGACTAAAATTGTAGAGAAAAAAAAAGTACAAGAACATGGAATATAAAAAAAAAAAAGGACAAAATTTCACAGTAAAATTTAAATAAATTATAAGAATAAAAAAAGCATTTGAAAAAAAAAAACATAATGGTAAGAACACGCTGGAAATGTAAAGTTCACATTCTTTATTCGAATAATATAAATGGCGGGCATGATTGTTACTTTTTTCCTTTGGTCCTGTTCCGTCTTTCATGGAGAGAGAATGATCTGTGTTCGTATCCATAACACAGCCTCTGGCCTTCTGATTCCACAGACCCAAATCAGCATCGTAGAGAAATAGCATATTCTTTTCAATTAAGTATAATATAATTAATGAGCACAATTAATTACTTTTTAAAATGTTAATTCAGCATGCCGCAGTTTACGCCCTGTTCTTAATTAAGTCTAATTAATTATATAATATTTGTTCATTAATTCACAGCCACATATTTAATGCTAAAACACTCTTCAAGCAGCGGGAGGCAGCGCCTCAATTCCGACGTCCAGGCCATTACCGGCCGTCATGAAAGCTTCTTTGCCGCAGGACGCACCCTTGCATGCTTTGTCCAATATAGGCCCCAGCTCTCTCGGGTGCACGTTCACCTTCAGGCCGTACTTCATGAACAACGTCAGCGACATCTTCTGCTCGACGCGGTGTCCCGGCTCCACCGAGAGGCGATGGCGCAGCAGCACCGCCGCCGCGATCGACTTCATTTGCAGGTACGCCAAGTCTTTCCCCAAACAAATTCTCGGGCCAGCATTGAATGCGACGAATTTATACGAGTCATTTAGCTCGATCTTCTTCCCGTCAGCGGACAACCACCTCTCCGGCTTAAACTCCAGGCAATCCTCTCCCCATATGAATTTCATCCTTCCAATTGAATAGATGGAGTAGGTTACGGACGAACCCGCTGGGACGAAGGTTCCGGTCGGCAATACGTCATCGTTGATGACGTGCTTCGAGTCCTGCGGCACCGACGGGTAAAGTCTCAGCGTCTCCGACAGCGCTGCTTTCAGGTACACCAAGCGGTCAATCTCCTCGAACACGAGTGGCTCGTCCATCCACTTCGAGACGTCACTACCACGTGTCTCCATCAGGACGGTGCAGAGTTCCACGAGGATTTTTTCTTCCACTATTGGGTTCTTGATGCACAGCCAGAAGAACCAGCTCAGAGCGACGGATGACGTGTCTCGTCCGGCTAGGATGAAGTTCAGAGCCACGTGTTGCAGGAATTTGTCCGAGTACGATTCCTTCTTCTTCATGAACCTGGAGAGCAGGTCGTCGTGGGGTACGGAGATCCCATTCTCACCCTGTCGCTTACTTATCAACTCGAGCTTCCTCGCGTTGATGATGCCAGACAAGTACTGGTCGATGTGTTTCAGGCTCTGGTCCATGGTCACTTCCACGCCTAGCCGGAGCCACTTCTTGAATTTCCAGATCACCTCTGGTAAGATAAAGCGCTTCAGGGTGGCTTCGGTGGCCCGGTCAAAAGCCATCGCAAAGCCGTTCTCGGGAAGCCCCGGAGAGAGAGTCTGCGGATCCTTGCCGAAAGCCAAGCCACAAATGTTATCAAAAGTCATGCGAAGCAGAAGGTCTTGAAGATCGACCGGCCTCCGGTTCTTCTGCGCTGTGGCGAGGATGGGGCAGAACCGGTACTTGATGGCTCGGCTCACCCAGCGTGCCATGGCCTGTCGCAGAGTCCTGGTGGTGAATTCCAGGGCAGCGGTCTTGCGCTGGAACAGCCAGGTGTCACCGTCGGAATTGAAAATGCCATCGCCGAGCAAATCGTGAAATACAGACTGCCAAGTGGGTCCCTTGGGATAGTTATCGAAGCGGAGCTTGAGGATGTGCTCAACGTTCTTGGGATCGCACGTGACAGTGACTAGTCCCTGCTTTCTGGCGATGAAGGGAATGGCGCAGATGCAGGTCTGGTAAGTTCCGCCAGACGCGCGAAGATTGTCCGCGATCCAGTCATGCATGCGATTGGTGTGCTGGATCAGGCCTGGAAGGCTCCCCAGGAGAGGCCAAACGCGTGGACCATTCAGCGATCGCGATATGAATCTGAACCATATTAAATAAGCAGCAGCGGCTGATACGATCAGTAAAGCCGTGGACGCATCCATGTGAGCGAGCACACCGGAATATGACCCCCTCTTCTTCCCCCGAATCAACACCAGAGGCAGAGCAGAAGATTTATGAAAAATGCGAGGGAGAAGGAAGAAGAAGAATGAAAGAATATGTGGCTGAGAAGAAGAGGTAATGGCAGTACAGTGAGAAAAAGGAAGGGCGGGTGACTTGTGAGGGAAAAGATTAGTGATAAATTTATAGGATATGGAAATATAGCGAGTGACGTCTCATAAGGAGCAGGAGTTACTTGTTGAAAGTGTTTTGGTATAATTATTTTTTTTTCCCGGCTCGTTCTGTGGAGCACAGCGAATAAAAGCCATGCTCATCAATGCCCACCAAGGTCGTTGGGGTGTATTAAGGCAGAACGAAACACTCCATCAGTAGACCTAATGTGATGTTTCTCACGGCTTAAAGGGGGGAAAAAAAGCGACAGTGAATGATACAGCAACATTTACTTGTCAAAGAAATGGTTTTGAGTTTGTGTGGGGAAAAAAATTCAATCAGAACAAGGAATTGCAGCTAGACGTGGTTGTTTCTTGGGCATTGAATGAAGACGCAAGATTAGTTGATGGAAAGAAGGTATGAAGAGTTGTATGCTACGCAAGAGCGACGAGTGTATTATTATTAGCTCGTATGTTTAGAAATAAAATAATAATAATAATAATAATAACAATAATAGGTGCAGAGCAGGGTGGTTATGTATGGACAAGTCCGGAGTTGTGGTTTGGCTGTTTGGATGCTATTTTCTTGTGGAATTTAAGACCCGGTGCCTCCCCTGATTTGACCTGGAACTGGTGACCACATCTCATGGATGCACATTAATTTTGGGTTTGCCAAGTACTGGCTTTGACGGCGTCGTTTTGTCCTCCGCCTCCGTATTAGCCAGATCACTGCCACTGCCACCCTCAGATCAGCACTTGGCATTGTGTCAGAAATAATAGACCCACCCAAAAGACATTAATTGGACACACGCGGCAAGTACTAATGCAACATTCTAGCGTCAGAGCCCAATTTTTCATGACTCCTCTCAAGCCCGATATTGGACCAAGTAGAATTGGAAAATCAGCTGGCCTGACCTTTGGATGTAAACTTAGCTAATTATAACTTTAGCTCGATAGTCCTATTATTCTTAAATTTATTATTTTTCAAAGATCGGCTCGAATTATAAGGCTTAGCGTCAAGTCTTTAAAAAAACTTAATTATGAAATGTTTAATGAAATTCGAGGTGCAGAATATTTGAACTAGAGTCTCAAGTTAAAGAAAGTTCAAGTGTTAGGAAATACTAATTCGACATCGTTAATATTAAATCTTCATCCTCACACCTATAATAAATAATGAAAACATTTATTTGTATTTAGACTTGATAAATGAGAGTGCAAGGGCCAAGAAAGAGGGTGGAGAGCTTGCACTTGAGAATGAGTAAGGGATTTTAAAAAAAAATTAAAAAGGACTCTCACGCCAGCACGAACCTAGCCCTTTTTTCTGAAGGGTTTTTAAGTATGAGACTCCTGTTATTAATTTCTTTCCCCAATTTTTCGAACACGACCCGTACAAAATGTGAGAAAAAATGGCTTCATCTGAGGTCACGGCTCTAAAATTGACCAGTCAAATGGTTTAATAGCATTCACAAGCGGCTGTGCAAGTACACATACGAAGGGTTGCCATTATTGGATGAAGTGTTGGGTGTTTGGCATGCAGTAAAATGAAGTTTATCAAGAAATGGGAATTTAGGTGGTGATGAATCCACACCCAATTGAGCGTGTACTTAATTTTCAGTTTGTATTTGGCAAAAGTGCATGCGAGAGATCCAACTATTTGTTTAATTTGGCAAAAACATATATCAAATGTGATTTGAATATACTTTTAATGGTTACACAAAAAAACTTTAAATAATCTCGCAAGTCATATCGCATCCGATTCAAATTGGCTCTTTTGTATCATGATGTGTGATGATTAGTGTGAAACAAATTAAAATGGCCTCGTTGAACCAAAGGTGGTATAATAAAACAGGCAATTGGTGCCATGTCACTTCATACGATCATACTTTCTCTATTATTATTTTTAAATTACTTCTAACATCTTCTATCAGAATCAAAAAAAAAATTAAATTTTATTAACTTTATTTTAAAATTTAACAAGTTTTTACCTTTATTTTTAATAAATATTTTTAAATCTCATTACTAATATTTTTATTCAAAGTATTTAATAAAGATAAAAATATAAAAAAAATATTAAAAATTGATAAGTATTTTATAAATGAAATTAATTTTTTTTTACTTTATAAATAGGATGAGAGGCGTATAAATCAACGTACGCACCTTTTGATTATCGCATTTTGATATCACTGGGGTCAGCCTCGACGTTTTGAATTGCCCCATCGCAATATCTGTATTAGCTGCCAGACCGGATTTACTGGTTGGACCTACTTTTTAATGCTCGCCCACCTATATCTGTTGTTGTTAATTCACTTAATTAAGGTTATCAATAATTCAGCATTATATATATAACTTATAGGTGACTAGTAGCAAATCACCAAATTGTTTGATAAATTAAATTCAGTGGAATGTCGCAATTAGCTGATTATTAATTATCAGCATGTGATTTTTTATTACTGTACCCATTCTTTGTCCTCGTTCATTGGTTGCGATCCAGCGGAAAATCATTTCCTCGAAACAACACTGCATGTTTTGGTTCAATCAGTGTGAATTGTTGCTTGGAGGCGTGAAAGTCAAACTCCGGGACCTCAAATGTAATTGTACCGTTTCTTTTTTGTGCCGTTAAGCTCGGCACATGTTGTGCTGGGGGAGCAGATGCAACGTTTTATTGTTACATAACACCATAGAAACAATGACAAAGTTTACATGATACTCTCTCTCAACTGTAATATAAAACATTTTTTGAAAGTTTTATTTAGTTCAAAATATAAATCATTAAATAACTTTTATAATTATTTCTTAATGTCCTTGCTTCATTTATTTTCTTTTTTGAAAATAATGATATATTAAAATTTTAATTATTATTATCAAAGCACTTATATAATATATTTAATAAGAGTAAAATTAAAAAAATGTATAATTTTTTGTAAACTGTAAATTAGTTGCCCTATATTGTGGTCAAAGGGAGTAAGTTTCATCTCGATGAAAATGTCAATGTAATGAAAAAAGAAATCCTAAAACTACTAGTCTACTACTACTTGATTCCTTGGTGTTTTTAATAAGCTTATTTTTTTTAAATATAAGAGATGTTATGATATTTTAAAATAATTAAACAATTTTGCTTTTATTGCTTGAAAAGGAAGAGATATTAATAACATGTTTTACCCACCACAATTATATTAATTTTGATATTATTAGAGATAAAATTAAAAAAATTCTTATAATTTTATATGATTTTAATTAAATAATAAATTTTTATTAATATGCATGATTCGATTACAAATATTTCATATACAAGAAGGGAGGGAATAATTCACGACCCATTTGTTATGATGCACAGCAGATATGCAAGTGCTTGAAAAACATGTTCTCTCTTTGAGTTTTGATAGTTTTTTTTGGTTTACGATAAAAATAAATTGAATACATCACACAATCAACCTTGCATACAAAGAGGAAGCATCACTTAAGTAATCAATTATAAATTTAAAATCATATTTTCTTAAAAATATCTGGATAGCTAAGGCTTGTTTGGATTCCCATTTGGAATCAATTCTGGGACCAGAACTGTAATTTTGCAAAAACTTATCCAAACATCCTCAATTTTATAAAACTCTATTTGACTTGTGAAACTCTGTTTTGGAGAAGTCATTTTTCCCCTTCCATTTGAAAATCAATTCTTAACAGTTGAGCATTTTTAATTTTCCCCTATAAAGTTGCCTTAATTAATCCTCTCTTAATTTCAAAAATTAAGGTAATCATGGAAATCGTAACATCCTATTTTTATTTAGGGAATTAATTTAAGAAAATTATAATATTAAATTTTTATTTAGGAATTTAATTTAAGAAAATTATAAGGTTTAATTAAAAATTAAATTGTGTTTTAAAAATTGATGTGAATGAGTTTAGGCTTCCTTCTTATGTGGAGAAAGGCCCAATATTGAAACCTATTGTAAGTTCCACTAAGCAAAAAGAGAGGGATCAGATTAAGTCGGGAGAGAAAGATTATATCTGGGATTAAGCTATAGCCATTTGAGAGAGAAGTAGAGAAAATTTTATTTTCACATATACACAAAATGGTCTTGATAAATTAAACTTCATGAATTCGTTCATCATCGGATCAGACTTAAATTTGGTCATAAGGTTTGTAACATCCAACTAATACTTTTCAATGATTGGATCATTAATTAGTTTCCTGATTAGAGAATTATTAACTTCATCATTCATAACAACTGTCTTCACATCTTCATAGAGCAATCTCGATAAATCCATGTTTTCTAAATTTTATCACCGTTGGATTGAGATTAAATTTTTTCATCATATTCTTACATCCAATTAGTCCTTGTCAACGGTTGGATCATTGATTATTTATCATATTGGATATTTATTAACTTTATCATTTGTAACAGCTGTTTTCACATTGTCACAAAGTAGTCTAAATAGATTTTCATTTTTTAAATTTGTTCACCATTGGATCTGACTAAAATTTGGCCATTATATTCTTGACATCTAAATTGGCATTTTCAATAGTTGAATCTTTTATTCAATCTACAATTCAATGGTTGGATCGATGATGTTAATTGTAAATTAATGTTTTATGGTGGTTGTACATAATTGGAGACCTTATGAAAACGTGCTTTGAGTGTCCTTTTTATTGACTTAGGTGGTGAAAGTAACCGAGAATCTAAATTTTCTCATATATTAGTTCTATCATTTATTGTATATTTTTTTTATAAATGATGTTCTTAGGAAAAAAAGGTGTAAGCATAAACTATAAATATACATGTACGAGAATGTGCGAAAGATATATGTGTATGTAATTTATGTATTGCAAATTTGAGCGTTGAACTGAAATATTGAATATGATACATGATGAATTATTGTTGAATCATGAATTATTGTGTAATTATGAATTATTATTATTATTGTAGAGTCATGAATTATTGAGGAATGTGTTATTTGGATATATGGTAAAAATATTGAGAATATAAGATTGGCATGATCATAAATGTGATGTACTT